AATACCTGCCCAGCATATTGGAGACCAGCTGAGCCTGCCTCGCCTTTATGTGATAGCTGTCTGCTGGGTGAGAAGGAGCTTCCCAGCAGTTCTTCTTTCTCGGAGCCCCAGGAATTCAAAGGTTCTAAAAAGGTTTTGCAGCAGGCAAATACATACGTGTGTACCTATGCACCTCTGGATGGCCCAGGACATTATAGCTCAAGTGACTGACACATTTCGTCACTGCTTTGACAGGCAAGTTAACTCTTGCTTCCAACTGGACATTAGCGTGCATAAGTCTCATCAATCGAGGTGCATTACGGACCCTGTTCTTCTCATGTAATCATCCTTTGTGTTAATGCTAATAGTATCGTGGTCCACACGTCTGTTCATGAATAATAAAATAGGTGAGAGATTTTGAATAAGTTAGATATTCTGCATCACTCACGTATGCCAGAAAGTACTTATTAGTGTTACATGAAGAAGCAACTTGGACTCAACAATTATCTGTGCTCTACACACCTTTGTTTCTCGAGTCTGATCTCTCCGTTATGTCTTCTGCTACGACACTGCACATTTTTTCACATTGTGTTTGTCTTGAGTCAACTAGTGAAACATGAACAACTGGTGAGTTTTGTCATGTCGTTTTATACGGTGGTTGTCCAGAGTGATAAGGAACTTAAGTGTCCTACTGTAACTGTCCTGGTTGCCAAGCCCATATCACAGACGTGAGGAAAGGGAGAAGTCATTAATGCAGAAAATTAAGGAAGCGATAATGGAGATATCCCATTATTGTTTTAATTACAGTGTAATGTTGCTGTTGACAAGGGCATCATAATCTCTTCTGCAAACAACTTTTGTCAGGGATTTACAACTCTGAAGAAATTTGTCTAGGCCTGAAACTTGGCATCATCTTGTTTAACAAAGTACTAAATGGTTGTCATACACGCTTTGAAGACTTGTATGTGTGGAGGGTGTTGATTTCCACGATAAGTACAACTATTTGCCCTTCAAACAGGTGACATTATATCTGCTTTGGGGGTTTGCCTAGACATGAACAGATTACAAGGACTTAAAGCAAACACACTCTATATAGAAGATGCCGAGAAGAAAATAAAAATGAAATAACCTCCAAAAATGAGATTAGCCAACAGCCCTGGGTGTCTGGTTTTATGACTATACAAAGAAGCCGCAATGCCTTTATTTACAACTCCTGGGTAAAACTTGCCTTTTGAGTAATGAACACTAAATGGCCCAAGAAGGCACTCGCTGTGGGCGGCATGTTAACACTTGCCACTTTTCCTGCTGTGAATGAGCCTGGTAATCGTCTCGGCTATTGATGAACTGGATTTAACAACTACAGCACCAGTCCCAAAGAATTTTCTGTAATATACTCGTGTTGGTCATTCCTTGCTGGTTTCATAAAATGTTTGTAGAAGGTGACCTTTCTGTTGTGGAGATTAGCATGGCAGTGATACCGATGCACCACCTTGCATGTAGACCTTAACTGCATAGTTTTCAAAGGCTTCGTTGATAAGGGGTTCAATCAGGAAAGTTATCACACAGAAAGTTTCTGCTTGTTTCGTAATGAGATGTACCTATCAGGATGTGAATGTGGTATTTTTAAGATCAAACGACAGGTAGATAGTTTTGAAATGGGCTCGTTAAGGCAATAACGTTCTGATAAATCTGATTCTCCTGATTTCTTGTGTACAGTTCATTGAAAGGATGTTTAGCGCTGATTGATACCTGTCTATAAACATTCTACCTGTCTATAAACATTCTCCCCTCAAACAAGTGGTAGTACAGAAATGCACATCAGCTTGGCTGTGTCCAGTATTCCAGAGTTTATGGTCCTCTTTGCTGTCCCTATAGAACGGCTTTAAAGCTCACTCATGCACATTCAGACTTCTGGCATTTTGCAGTTGCTCTTTTATCTTTATAATAAAACATGTATTTAACAACAATTAAATGCGGAAACAGCTTGCTGGCAGATGGAATGGATTTTCTATCTCCTGAAGTTTTCAAAAGTGTCTTTCAAAAATATGTTCATTTTATGGTCTTTGTTATAGAGAAGACTGAACTGGAGTATCATAGTGTTTTTTCTGGACTTCATAGTTTCCTCATATTTCTATTGTCTATTTTTTTGTTGTTCTCGTTATCCTTCTAATTTGTACCTAAAATTGCATTTAATACATGATCTTTAAGTCACGTTTACTTCCTTAACCAGCCAAATGCTAAATAAAACTGGCAGTGTAGATTCCATGGCACAAATGCCTTGTGCCTTGCGAACCGGGAGACCGCTCTCTAAAATTGGTGTTGGCATGGGTAAATACACTGCAGGCCCTGAGCTCGGGTACTTCGTGGTAAGTTCTGCTGTGTCCTTACACTGAATCAAAGAACTTAGCAGTATTAGTAGAAAAAGTGAAGGTATTAACTGGGGCTACTCTTGCATTCTTTGCATTCTTTAACTAAAGGGCGTGCATTGGTAAGATGATCCCGTACTCCGAAGACTCGTCTTAAATATAAACCTGAATTGAATATTGATTTTTATTTTAGTTCATTTAGTTGTTTGGGTTTTTTTCGGGAGTGAGGTAACTGGTTTTGATGCTTTGTATGAAAGTTGAATTACCAAGATAGTAAGCTGGGGAATGTGGTTACTACTCATCTGCATTAACAATCATTTAAAGAAATTTCATAGGATTTTTTTATTATACACTTATATGTAGACTTAAATAACTTTTATTAATACAGTCCATTGAACAGTAACATACATTTTTAAAATGTCATAAATGCAGAGACAACTTAACTACCTTGGATATGCAGTGGTCACCATCTATAAGCTCAGCAAGATTAATATTTGCTGTGCAACTGCCTCTGAAAATTTGCCTTAATTCCTATTCTATGGCTAATATTGTAGTGATCTGTTAAGGGTTTATTCATATGGCTAAAACAGTTTGTTAAATGACTAATAATTCTAGAGTCAGAATTATGTATTTATGGAATACAGTAATGGTTTGTTTTGCTTTTAAAGGACAGAACGCTTGCCTGTAAATTAATTTCTAATAAAAAGCAGTATGAAAGAGAGGTGAGTATGGAGAGATGAGGTTGTTGGGCAGTTGTTGTTATCTGGTAGTGACCTCTGTCGCTGATGATTTGCAAATTAATCCTTTCACCAATGAAACAGGAGGGACAGAGTGAAAGGGCAGAAAAATAGTTTGAAAATCAGTTAGCTCAGCTTTCCAAAGAATGTTAATAATTCACTTGATGACCAGTTGGTACTGGGATCAGTTGTGGGGCTGACATTTTTCAATACCTTCCTCAACAAGCTGGATGAGGAGACAGTGTGTTCCCTTGGGAAATCGTTAGGTGACGCACAACTGGAGGGGGGGAGAGGTTGACCTGCTGGGTTGTGATGCTGCAGCTTAGAGGGACCTTCGCAAACCTGAGGGCTGGGCTGGCAGAAAGTCTGTGAAGTTCAGCCAGAGTGGCTGTGCGGATGTAAATCATTTGTTGACTCAACTGGAATTTAGAATCTAAGTTTGTTATCATTACTTAAATAAGTAACCTGTATTTTCACATTAATTTTACATGCTCACTCTAAACTCTCTTGCTTCCGCTGCATATAGAAGAATCTGAACTGCAGGTGGAGTGTTGGTTTGCAAAGTGTGTACAATAGCTACACTTGAAACGCGTACCTCAAGTATGGGCTCTGACTGTTTCTAGGCTGCCTGACAGTTATAGGCGAGGGATATTTATATGACTGTACAAGGAAATAGGATCTGTAAATTGGTATTGTATAGAGGAAGATAGCCTTTCAGTGGACAATAGGCTGTTTCAGTGCTTTCTAATGGTGTGCTCTCTTCAGGGAGCTTCAAAAAGCTAAATTCTACTTTGCCATTAGAGTAGGTTCATCTATTATGTGGCCTCAATAATGTTATCTGGAGGTAAGTCTTAGAGAAAGAAAATGCCTGAAAACGTAAAAATGGAGGGATAATGTAGTGTTGTAGGTGTCAGTCCGATACCCATCACTGTGAGAGGTTTAATATCTTTATTCTAATTGATGAGTGAGTCTGATGTTTGAAAAGCCCTAAATTACAGATGCTTATGTGATGGAATAGCTATTGTCAAAGTATGGAGGAAAATGGCACCCTATTGTTGCAGACTGTTAAAAACGATTTGTTGAAAATTGACTTTGAATGTTTATAGTGGAGGTCAGAGTTCGCTTTAGAGGGCTCATACTTCCATAGAAATATCTAGAAGTGCCACAGATCTGCCTTGCTATTAAAGGAATGATTTTGATATAAATACTTACCTGGTAGTGCTTTTGATTCATTAAAATGGGAAAAATAAGTGGAGCAAAACAGCTGGGACAATTTCTAAGTAAATTCATCAGTCATTCAGGAACTATGCATTTAAAATACCTATAAATAATAGAATGCTCCATCTAAATGGAAGGCTTTTATTGATGTGTAAGTACAGTGTCACACTGAAATTTGTTTTTCAACTTACATTTTCTTGTGTTTAGATCAGGCAAGTTATATTATTTCCACATTTTCAACTTTATTTTAACAGCATTATTTTGTACGGTGTGTGAAATGAAATTGATCCACACAGTTGTTAAGCTTTAAAATTACTTTCAGGTAATAAATAATTGTTCTGGAAACTCTGTGCCTTCACTCCATTTTTTAATATTATCTTGAGGACTGATGAAATAATAGGACAACTTTTGTGTTTTGCCATTGGCACTTGTAAATTCTCTTTATACATATTTTTGCAATATATTACATTCCTTTAAATATCTTCTTTCCCCTCTGATGATGTTCGTGGGACCGCTGATCCCGCGAAAGGAGGGAGGACAATGGAAACAGGGAGAGTGAAATACTGAGAAGCCAGTGTTTGCTTTTCATTATATATGCTTAGATCTCCCGGGTTTACAAAGAATAAACAAATTGTTGATCTAGACCTAAGGAAACAAACATTTAGGTTTTTTTTTAAATCTTGTTATAATAGATAAAAAGATGGCCTATCACAAAGTGAATGCAGACCAGAGAGCACAGGGGCACTCTCCGTACCTTGACAACGATGAACTCCAAGCCACAGCACTGGAACTGGAATGGGACATGGAAAAAGAACTGGAGGAGCCTGGCTTTGACCATTTCCGACTGGATGGTGCGGTCCAGCATCACCCGGGAAACTCCCAGAGCCCCGACCTTGATCTCGAGCCCATCCAGCCTTCGTCTTCCCCTAAGGGTCGATTCCAGCGACTTCAGGAAGACCCCGACTACGTCTCGCACTATACAAGACAGGCACCAAAGAGCAACCGCTGCAGTTTTTTTCAGATACTGAAAGTATTTTGCACTGCTTTGATTTTATTTATTTTTGGAATTGTGATAGGATATTATGCAGGCAAGAAATGCCCTTCTGCCCCAGCATCTCAAGAACCAAATAACCTTCATATCTACCATGAAATTCTCAAGGAAATCAAAGCTGAAAATATTCAACAGATTTACAGGTATGTACCTTGACGTGATTTTGTCTAAATGCTGTCAGATGCCAATGTTAAGACTCCTTGTGATTTGTTTTATGTGGAATCTTAATTACAAACCTTGACTTTTTCTTAGTGTTCGGTTTTCTTATGATGCTTGGGAAACTTTCATAAACATGTATGAAACTAGAGTAATTTTTAAAAATATGGATTTGCATTAGTCATTATATTTTTTCCTTTAATAACGTTCTATTGCTAAATATATTAATATTAGCTTTACTGTACATGAATTGAAAAATACAGACAATTCAAAGTGAATAGAAATATAGACGATGAACCAGCTGTCCAGATCCGGTTGATCGTCGAATAACTTTGTCGAAGAGCAAGATCTGAGATGGTTTTTTGTAATGTTCTGTGCTTTAAGAAATCTCCATCTAATCTCTGGCAAATAAGTGAATCCTGGCTTTTGTTTTTCAATCTATATGGTGAAGTAAACATTTAGTCTGCATGGGTTTAGGAGGGAAAAATTGACCCCCGACCTCGGAAAGACTGATTTTTTTTTTTTTTTCTTAAATACCTGTTTTAAGAATATAAATGTTGTAAAATATCTACTGACTGGGTTTAATTTTTTTTTTTTCCGTGTTGAATCTTCACTGCTTTGGAAGTGTATATAGCACCTTGGTATCAGAGTGTAATCACTTTTCTGTAGCAGTGAATATGGAAGAAACTAGGTTTTCCTGCCAACGTTTGAGAGTTATTTCTGTGTGAGGGGGGAGATGAGCTTATTTCTGGCTTCTGGAACTGCAAGTTCCTTTTTCATGGTAAAGGAAATGCGTTGCAGATTTTTTACTCAGTACTAGCACAGAGACGGCAGAACTTACATGCCTGAGGTTAGAAAGGATTGTTGTCATGGAAATCCAAGGAGTTGTTCTGAGTGGATCACAAATACATTTAAAGTAACCACAAAAGTCTTCTAACATAATTTTTCTTTATTATATTTGCTAAATCAAGCCTAAAATCCTTATGCAGTTGGTACCATGTTTTGAGCCAACACCATCACTAAATTCAAGGGGAAAAATAGGTGTGAAGGATTTTCTGTCAGTTTGCATGTGCCGAACTGATTCGGCTTTATATGGATCTAATTATTTTCATAATGAGAAATGATATAGGTGATGGAAAATGTTGATTCTGAATGGTAAAAAAATTAACCTCTTTGTCTTCTGAGAGTAAATTGAACTGAATTCTGTCATTAGGCTTAGTCGTGAACAAAGTATTGGAATAAGCTAAGCCCTACTGATAGGGTGTTACACAAATCACAGCAAATTGCGGAGACCTCTGTCACTCTCAGGAGAATACTCCAGTAGTTTGTGTTCGGGGACTGGGAATCGCTTGCCATTTTATTATTTCAAATACCCCTTTTCAAATTCTTCAGCACTTTTCAAAATATTTAAGCTAGCTATTAGGATATTGGTGAGAATCTGGACTTTAGTTAAATTATATGAATATTTCAGAACTTAAAGAACGTATGCAGTTGCTATTCTTTAACATAATTCATGGCATTTGGTAATTTTGTTCTACGTAGTACCATGATTTCAACAAATGTAGTCAAGCATTACTTCAGCTACTTACCGATTCTATGTATAAATATATAATCAATGCTTTCAGTATACCACATTACCCACAATATTTTCCTTAACCCAGCATTTGGATTGGAGACAGCTTTTATCCCATGCTGGGTTAAGTTGCCTTCCCTCAACATCTGTTTAGCAGGAGTCAGAGCTACTGCAATGAAACCTGCGTATATGTAGCCCTGCAAATACAGAACACGCAACATATGTTGCTTGGGGTAAAAAAAAACAAACCTGACAAAATCAATGTATGTTGTCGTAAGACTTCTTTCAATATAATGCACTTTGAGTTACCAGGAGTAAGTGGCAGCTGCTTAGCTTGCAGTTTCTAAATGTTACTGAGAATGACGTTAATTTAATTTTCTTAGCTTCCTACTTAAATCGGACTCAATAATGGTAAGGAATTTTGCTAACAGTCCTGATAAAGGAGTTAGGAGATAAAAAATGCATAAAAGATACAGCAGTGCCAATCATATTGCCTAAGGAGACATCACCTTGATGTGCTTGGAGGTCTGGGATGGGAACTTCCTGATGGGATGGAATGAGCTGCAGTTAGATGAAGCTGGGAGGACTGGGACCCTCTGGGCTTTTAAAGAGGTTGCGGTAGCTCACCAGGGTACTTCTGTAGGTTTTACTGGGATTTGGACTGGATTCTGTGCGAGCTGAACGGAGCCTCTCTGCCTGTCTGTCTGAGGAATGGAGGGTCACATAGGATCGGCTCCTCCACTGGAGGCTCCAGGTGGGAGCTCTCGTGCCGCTTTTCACTCGGCCCCATACTGGCCATCTACAGCAGCCAGGCCTGCATTAAGCAGTTTTCCCAGCAGACGTACTAGAAATCATTAGGAAAGAAAAGTCACAGTGTTGGCTTTTATTCCTCCAACTGCATACCTGGTTTCCTGTGGAACATCAGTGCTACAGAAATTCAGTGCAATTTAGCACACTAATTACTGGCCTTGGTCAAGTTGCCTAATTAATGGTACAACCTAAGTAAAGATTATTCTTTTTGAATGTCTCCCCCCACCTTGTGGAGGGAAGTGCTTACAATGTTGATAATAACAAGTAGAAATTGGTTTACTCCTGATGTTTCAGAGGTTTCAAGAGGACTGAAGGTGTCAGAGGTGCCTAAAAGAGGGAAAGGACTTGTCACAAAAGTCTGAAGAGTTTTCCTTACCCTGCTCACTGTGTTTTACATGCTGACAAAAATTAGAACAAATATTTTTAATAGTATTCAATTAGTAAATCTAATATTTTAGGAGTGTGAATACTATATTTTCTCAGATAAGTATTTGAGAGAAATAACCTGCTTCATGGCATGGGCAGAGTCAGAACTGGTAGAACCAGATAATTCTGCAAACATCACTGAGCTGACAGGAATCCAGTAGTATTATATCTGTTTGTGCCATGAATAGGACTTCTCTTCAATTTTCTTTTGGAAGATATATGGAAAGGTTTTAGTTCAGGTTTGGTGTAACTTAGCTCCAACATGTCTTCAGGGTGAATATGAAAAGGGCACAAGTCTCACATCCAGAAGAGACCAGGTAAAAGTCGAGATACGGGACACCTTGGGCACCATTTAAAATTTTATCTGTAACCAGCAGAAAGTGCCAGCACAACACAGATGGACAAAGCTGGTAGAATTTATAGGCTGAAAGTGGGCTATCTCCCAGGACAGCTGGGTTGAGACTCTGTGGCAAGAATGGATTCTCGAAGCCCTTGTAGAGAGGGTGTAGCTGGAGAGTAGTCATCTGTGCTTTGGGTCCACGGTCTTGCTCCCTGTGGAACGTGTCTGCAGCTCCGAAATATGATGTTAGAATAGGAAAAGTCCTGTTTTCAAAAGTGATGAATGCGTTTAGATGTGGACGTCTCTGAAGTTTGTAATAAATGCTTAAGGTCGTATGAGGCAGACTTTCAAAAATGTGGAAACACCCAACAATTTTGCTAAGCAGACTGTTGAATTCTCAAAAGTAAATGAGCTCAATTTTCAATGAAAACTGACACTTTTAAGCTACTTCTTAAAATGGGATTAATCTCTCTAGTATCACTTCAGTGCATTTAAAAATTCAGCTGTTTTTCCTTCTCGCTGTGTATAAAAAGAGGGATGCTAAAAAGTATATCTTTATTCTCTTGTGCGTCTGCCAGATGCAGGTTAGCTATCCAACGGTCATTACTACCTAATTGAATTATTTACCAGATTTGTGTTTATAAGGAGTGGATTTATCCTCCTCCCCATCAAAGATGAGTTTGCCATTTGTGCTGTGTAGTGTCCCCTCTGACTCCTGGATGATTCTTTTCTCACCCTACCTTCAGGAGGAAGACAAGGGAAAAAATCTGAGATGCCCTGGTGTGGAGTCAGAGGGAACGTTGTCACTGACTTCAAGGTTACTGTCACTAGCTGCCAGGATTTTGATCATCGTGTTTGTTGCTAAGCTTTTGTATTTTAGCATGGTAAACATTTGAGTTTTGTGCAAACTGAGTGAGTGTTTTGAGTTGAGGTTTAAGTTGAATATTATTAACAAAATCTAAAGGGACAAGGTAATGACAGCACAAAAAGTAGCAGAAATGCAGTCTCTTCAAAGACATCTAATATTGTAATAACTACTGCTATCCAGTTTGGCGTCTGTCTTAAAGAAAATACGTTGTGTTGCTTGTTTAACAGTGCAGAGCATTTCAACAAGGGAAATATGAAAGATAGTATTTTTATTTAATAGGAAATTATTTCAGTTTTGTTTTTCCAAAACCAGGTAAAGTGAAACAAAGTATTTCGAAAATGTGGGACTATAATATTTATTTTATAGCACGTTAGAAGGTGTTGACTTCTGTAAATTAAGCTGATAAACATAGATTCATGTTGAATAGAAAGTGTAAAAAAAAATAGATGCATTGAGGTCAATGATAATTCTAGCTATACCTTATTTAGCAGAATAGTTAGTTCTCTCAGACACTATTTTTAAAATTCTGCTAGCCTTATCCTGTGTAATTCTTGTCAGCAACCGTACATCTTGGTTACTATCAGATTCACAGTCCTCTTGGATACATTTTTCCATGATTAAGGCTGGGGAGCCACAGACAGAGAAGTCTTTGCTTTGCTCTTCAGCCAGTCTATAGGGCAGCTCCTATATCTCAGCTCTGCTTTTCATCCTGTATATTCTCACTCAAATGCTTTCTTCACTGTCATTTTTTTCCACCTCGAGCCATAGGGAGGTTTAAATCCCTTCGTAATACATCTAGTTGTAACTAACTGTCCTTTGGAGGCATAGCTGCTCCTTCTTCCAGCTGGCGATATCACCTGCAGAATCTCACAAATCCATCTCTGGCAAGAATTGATTTGTCATTGGTGCCTGGTGCCATCTGTAACGTGAGCTAAATTCTTCAAAGGGCTTTGGGAGAGCAGACAGCAAC